TTTTCCCAAAAAAAAAAAAAAAAAAAAAAAAAAAAAAAAAAAAGGCTACATATATGTACGTACATATGTAACTAAGCCATCAAATCGGTTACTTATTTTTACTGTGTTTACAAATGATCACCCAACGAGGAGCAAAAAAAAAAAAAAAAAAAAAAGAAATTTAGTTCATCATGAGTTTGTCACCAAATGCGGAATGGCAATTTTGGGCTCACCTGGATATATACGCCCCTCTGGCTTGACTTGAAATGGTTCTCTTTTTTTTGTTCTCTTAATTTGCACAAAATGGATAAAGCATGAAGGAGGAAGCAACGCATCCTGTCACTTATGCACGAAGGACTATTCGTTACAAACAAGTGGAGGGCTTAACTGTGTAGTCCCCGTGTCGTGTAAGATTTAATCAAATGTGATATTTGGAACTCTGTGCCAAAAGGGACCTGTACATTTGTTGGCCATCTCGGGTCATCGTGAGGGGTTCCTCGCCCTTATGGAGATTTTTTCTCCTCCTCCTATCACCTTATTTTTTTTTACCCAAATTTTTGCTCACATTTGTGTGGTTTTGCAGAACGGGGGGGCCGTTAATATAATTGTGCAATTTTTTCTTTCTTCTCAACAACTTTTTTTTTTTTTTTTTTTTTTCTCTTTACTCAAGGTGACAACTTTTTTGGCTAGTCGCAATGGGGTGTAACACGTTCAAACATTTTGCTACTTTGTACATTACCACAAGGGTTAGGCAGGTCGGCAAAATTACCATTTCAGGGATAATTCTCTTGTAGTATAGCACGTGGGTCCCATTGTTATGTGTGCTTTGCTCCCTCTTCCTATTCTCCCAAAATGGGAATATCAAAAAACTATCTTATGTATCCCCTGCACACACATTTTCGGTTCAATGTGTGCACATGATTAACAGTCCGTCCACAATCCAGTTGTGTGTGAAAACGGATAAGCTGAACAGAATGTAGGACGAACATGCAGCTACATCCATTTTTCATTTGCAACTCGTTAACGTGTAAGCAGAATGGGATATTTATTACACACAGTTGTCCCCGTTTACCTTGTCCATTTTTTTTTTTTTTTTTTCTGAGCATGTACGAGGTAGCTTTTTTTGTGCATGTATAAAAAAAAAAAAAAAAAAAAAAAAAAGTGTCACACGGGCAAGCGGCGACAACAACGAACAAATTTACAAATAAACTGCAACATACAAAAATGCAATTAAGGCACAACTGAAATGTTATTTCTTGTGGTACGGGAAAAAAATTGAAAGGTCATATCTTCACCCCTCATCCAATCCAATGTTCACCAAAAAGGAGGACTATTTCACGGACAGGGAAGAGGTTAACTGGAAATTTTTGTTAACGCTGCTTCTCTGCATATGCAGCACACAAGTGGGTCATAAAAAGATAAATCCACGAGGCAACTGTTCTGAGTTCAATTTCCCCTCGGTTTATATTCCCCACCACGGTGCGACACCACATGTGCATATACTACGTCACACCGTTCACTCGAACTAGTTATCTCACCAGTGATATTTAAAAAAAAAAAAAAAAAAAAAAAAAGAGGAACAATTGGACAAGGCAAACCTAGAAAGGGCACAAACACATAGTGACACAAAAAGGAGACCTCGCCCGAGAAGAACAAAATGCAGAATGCAGCGTCGTCCAACTTGAGCATGGAAAAACGGATTGACCATTTGAAGAAATTCTCTAGCAATATCACGGGGATGATCTACGAGTTGAAGGACTTGATAAAAATTCACGAAATTTTAATTTATAAAGAAAAGCTCAAAAGCACTAAAAATGAGCAGCTGCAGAAGCACCAGGATGATATCATCGCGCTCAAGCTCGGTTTGATACATGAACAAGAGGCACGATGGACGCGTGCTCATCATTGGTGCATACTCCACATATTTGCACCTGCAAAGGTGACATACACTTGGTAGCGGGGACTGTATCATTACCCACGTCGCACCCACGCATTCCCCTTCTCCAACAGACCTCGAATCGATCACAAAGGAAAACGATAATATGGATGGACAGCTGAAGTATTACAAAAAGATTGACGAGTCGATTAACTACGAAATTGTTAACACGTCGGTGAACATACAGAATATGAAGCTTGACATAAACAAGCAGAAGAAGTATTTAAAAAAATTTTTGTCTCAGTGCATCTCAAGCACCTGTGCGTGTGAGGTGTGTATGCACATATGTATTTACATGCCGCTAGCTCGAACTTGCAACGACGAACTATAGTGGCAATTTTTTTTTTTTTTTTTTTCCGGAAGGAACATCGAGATGAAAAGTGATATCGACCAAATGAAGAACGTAAGACATGAGCGGTGAGCCGTGTACATGTGCCTGCATACGTGTGTGTGTGTGATCCTCCCTCGCTTAGACAATTGACGTTATGTAACCGCCCAACGTGCTGATCCCCCAAGAAATGCAGCAAATCTCTAAATCAGAAGCACCTCCTTGACCACAACCTTGCGCAACTAGCAAAACACAAGCAGGGCAGTGGGGCGGAGGTCTCCACGAATAGAGCGAATAGGTTAACTGGACACGCAGTCAAAGTGGTGAAGGAAAACACAAAAGGGGCGACCGAAGAATCGGGGAAAGAGTGTACTACGGCGCTGAACAGAAGTTTACGGGACTCACCCAAGAACGAAGTACAAAAAAAAAAAAAAAAAAAAAAAAAGTGGCAACCATTTTATATTCACGAATATGAAATTTTTGTTCATTGAAATATGCTTAATGTAAAGACGTATTTTCTTTTTTAGGCACACCTCTGCTGAAAGGATTGTGCATGTAGTTGGGACGAGCCACTTCCCGAGGTTCAGTTGTACGTATACACGGGTGGGGCCCTAACCTACCCTTGCGCTATTGTCCTGCTTTGGGGAAAGCCAACAGGGAGGAGAGATAACTGGTCACGTGGAAGAATGCGCAAAAAAAAAAAAAAAAATTGCGACACCTTTGTAACATACGAATTAGAAAGGACGTGTAAAAAGGCACGCCCAGGGGTCCACATTCATTTTTTTCCTCATTGTGCATGGGTATGTCTGTGTGTGCATACTCGTTTGTTTAGCTGGAGCTAGCGAAGGTGTTGAAAATTTTGCGTGGCTCCCACATCGCTGTAAATGTGGCGACGTGGTTGCTTTTAAAAAGGAGTCGCTTTTGACAAAGTCCTTTTTAAGAATGTTTTTTTTTTAAAGTAGCTGTTTTTTTGTTCTTTTTTTTTTTTTTGTGCCGTTAATCATTCACCATGTGGTGTGTGCATAAGTGCTCCGTCTGGTCGCTTAGCTTCTACACCGCTGGTCGCTGAAGCAGCGTTAACCTCCGCACCGTTGCTGCCTCATCGCAACTATCGCCACGCGTCCTACTTCAACTTGCATTTTAAAAATCTCCCCCTCCGTTCATGTGCAGCCCTCCAGCTGGATGAGCTATACGAACGGGACTTCTCACTCCACATGCCAAACGAATCCGGAAGGGGCATGTAGATGTGGAGTGAGTATTAGATGTGGAAGGAAGTTGAAGTAGGAAAAAAATATAAACGTAGATTAAAACGAAATAGGTTAGGGTTAGAATGCAAAGGAATGTGCACATGAGGGTAGGGTAGCGTGAGGACGGTCTCCCCCCTTAAGCTGATTAAAATAAAATAATGTGATAAAAAAAAAAAAAAAAAAACGCTGGGTACCTTTAGGTGCTCTCTGCAAATCGTTCAAAATTACCAAACTGTAGCAACGTGTACCCCAAAACAGGAGGAATTTTTTTTTTATTACATTGTTTTTAAAATTTCCCTTTGCTTTACCATTTTATTTGAAGGGTGAAGTTCATCACCCCTTATGCATATTCTGCATGTACATCGAAATGTGACGCTGTGGGGCAAGATAAAAAATTGTAAGGATGCGTTTCTCCTCATTCACGCGATGTGGTGTTCGCTTGTGTCCCCGCAAAAAAGAGAGGTGCTACCTGCCATATAACCCTATTTTGAGGAACAAATTTAGGGTTAGGTACACCACTCACTGCGAACAGTGAGAAGCCGTTCCCCGGTATTGCCTTTGCATTCGCCTGCGTGGTTATACGCGCAAAAACGCGAAGGCATTATATACGTATGTTTGCATGTTTCTATATGTGTTTCTGTGCCCTGTAGAATAGACCCGTCTCCTCCTCCAATGCTCATAGCTCTGTGCTCGCCACATGGAGAAGGAGAAGGGGTACATTGAAATATCAGACTTGCTCCGCCGGAATGTGGAAGGTACCCAGTAGTGTTCAGATCGTTTCGCTACGTTTGGCAAATACAGTGCCATTACGAAGGGATCAACCCCCCGCCACCCCCTATGTGTGGCTTCTCCCTAACACATATTTTCTCTTTCTCACACCACTACACTACATACGTATACACATACACACACCTACACGTATACGCACACCCTTGTCAGATTTGAACGATGAAGACGAAATCAGAGTGCAGGACTTTTCATATGAGAAGTACGTCTGCTCCCTCGAAATGGGAGACAACAAATTGGACGTGGGGATCAAACCAGAAAAGAGAATTACAATAAAGGAATGTGAAGATAGAAAATACATATCGGACGATATCAGCTTGGAAGACATGCTTGTAATTATGGACCACCTGATCGTTCAACAAGTAAAGCTCCTCCTGGGGAACCATCCATTTTTAACTGTCCTAAGTTGCTACTTCCTTCACCACTCAAGTGTTATTAATTGTAATGAAGACCCGTTCTTTTTTGAAAAAATTTTTTACAAATGTATAAAGGCCTTTTGTGCGGACAGCATATACATTAACATTTTCGAAAATGGCAATCGGGAGTTTGTTCAGCATATGAGGAGGGGTGTAGTAGAAGGAGAGAAGCATCCCCCCATGGAAAGTTCTTCCACCAAAAAAGCGCCAACACAGGAAAACAATCCGCGAGACGAACCCGACGCACATCACTCTATGTGCGAAGAGGGTTCCCTCAGATGTAACCTGTTCACCTTCTTCCAGCTGTTCCTAATCCTGTACGCATCCACAGCGGAAGTTATGGACCACATCATAACAAAGAATAGTGGTCTGCACAGGGATGATTACAAAAGCGGGTTGCTCAAAATAACGGACTCGTTAATTTACCACTGCAGACGCAAAAGGTCGTACGTGATGAAGAACCTCTTCCTCGTGAAGAGATGCTTCTCCAAGTTTTTGGCGAAGTACGAGTCGGCGCAGAAGGAGCCAAGTGCGCATAAACGTGGAGGAAAAGACGGAGGCAAAAATGATGTCAAAAATGATGTCAAAAATGGAGGCAAAAATGGAGGCAAAAATGACGGCAAAAATGCTGCCAAAAATGGAGACAAAAATGAAGGCAAACATGGAGGCCAAGGGAGAGACAACAGGGAAGACCACTTAGCAGACCCACCTGCGGGCACCGTCCTGTCCATCCTTCGCAGGATCCAGTTTGCCATTCACCTAAGTATGATGCTAAATCAGGTCATTTTCGAATCCAAGGAGGTGAAAACAGACATCATTAAAGAAAATTGTAAGGAGCTCCTAAAATGCATACGTATGGTCAGCAAAGAAGTAGGTTCCAAATGTCAGGAGCAAGACAAACAGGTCCGAAAGAAATATTTTAATAAATACCTTTTAATGTATAAAATGAACAGTGTGGCTAAGCACGTGACAAAAATGAGTGTCCATGAGGGCTACTCCTTCTTCGAAAAGGTAACTCTAGATGTAGAATACATCGCGGAACATTTCCAGCGTATAAACGCCAAGTCAAGCTTCTTAGACATTAAGCACGTAGTGCATTATGTAAAATTTTACTCCGCCAGTCGTAACGTTTTGGTGAAGTGCATTTCGAGGGGGTACATCCAACAAGTGATGAATAGCGCAAGGGGGGACTTCCTTTCCCTAGAGAGGGACCTACTACTTAAGGAAGAGTTAAAGACTAAACGTTTTCTTAGCAATTTGAAACGGGACCCTCCCTGTGGCAAAGTGGAACATCCTGAAAAGGGGTCAACACGAGAAAAATTGCAAAAAGTGGAAGAGAACGACCCGCTTGAAAAGCGAGAAGACAGCCAGGCGGAGCGCATAACGACTGACGGGTCCCCCCTGGATGAACTTGTGGGCGAATCAAACAACCAATGGGACGATTATGATGAGCACCCAGATGTAGGTCATTACTACTCCCTCTTTCTAAACACGTACAGAAAGGAAGAGACGGATGATCTGCCCTCCACAAAACGCCTAAACGAGGAATTCTCACAAAATGTAAAGCAAAATATATTTATCAGTTTCTTCCTCCACTTATTCTTCAACGAATCGTATGTAATACTAGAAGGGGTGTCCAAAGAGAATCCCAATTTTTTTGTCAAGTCTATAATTTTTAATGATCTGTGCTACTTTGGTTTTTCCCCCCCTCTGCTAGTCTTACTGTCAAATTTTTTTTTCTCTCCGGATACGTTTTTTTTTTCCATGGAACATCTGTACCAAGTGGACAAAGGGTTGACTTATACAAATGAGGAGGAGTATGAAGCATTTTGCAACATGTCTTTTCCTCCTTGGGCTGTTAAAAAAATGGAGCGAGATTTACGCTTGCGTTTCCCTTATCTGATAAATTATATGCAGCACGAGAGCTCCCTTGTGGAGTTGTTCACCGAGTTGGAAGAATTTATTGACGAGTGTGCAGGGGTGGAGAGTGCGCCGAGGGAAGTGAACCAGTGCAGGTCCGATGAGCAGCGTGGAAGTAACCCTGTTACGGAATGTAGAAGCGTCCACCAGGGGAGCAGCACCGTGGGGAGAAGCGAATCCAAAGAGGAGCGCACCGAACACGCCAAACGCGGTAATGGTACGCACATCGAGGAACGCACCACGAGCCCAGCGAGCGTTACGCAGAGGCGCATGAAGCTGACGGTCTTGTGCAAGATATTTCACCTGTTCATGGAGTATCTCGAGATAGTGTTAAAAAAAATCCTAACCTTTTCCTTTTTGCTGGCCTCTAGGGAGCACTCCAAATTGAGCGAATTTCACACAGACGTGTGTGTACTGTACACCCTCATGAAAATCCTGACTCACTACTTCAAATTGTACAATATGAACAGCGAAATGGAAAGCGTGGAAAATTATTTTAACTGCATTTTCCACACCGTGTTAATTGATTACAGCTGTTTAAGCCTATATACCAACATCCCCTCCGACCAGGAATATGCCTTTACCTATTACGTCATGTCATTATGCTATAAGGAATTGGCGGGTACACTTCAAAATGGATTAAAAGTAAATTGTGGTGAGAATAAGAGCAAATTAATTTATTCCTTAATTTATTACATTCAGTATCTTTACTCAGATTTTTTGATGATATATTTTATTTATTACTCCTGCACCAATGTGGATTCGGAACCCATCGAGGAAGACTCCTACAACATGAAATACAAAGCGTGGAATTTCTGTTACCCAGATATTTCAAAAATTGACTTTTACAATTTCCAGAAAAATAAAGCTGTTCTCATTAACTCCGTCCTCACAAAGAATTTAAAAATCACCCTTTCCCCAAATGACGAAATCAACATAGGGGTGAAAAAAAAAATTAAAAATTTAGACCAAGTGAAAGAGAGCTACCATAATACGAACAAACGGATTGGCAAATACTGCAACTTGTTATATATTAAAAATTACTTAAGTCATACTTTTCGCTTTTTCGAGAAAACCTCTTCCGAGGTGGACATTTGTTCCTATTTAAAAGGGTGCATAAGCGAAATTGAGAAACTTATAAAGGATGCCTTAAGTTACAAATACGACAACATCAGCTTTGTTCGCATTTTCCTAAATTCGTATGAACATAATTTGATGTCTTACAAGAAATTTCCCCCCTTTTGTGTTGAAAATTCTTCCATCTTTTTGAATCCCGATTGTGAGGTGGTTAGCGGCCACTCTTATTTTTTAAGTGTGCAGGAAAGGAAGAAAAAAAAAACATAAAATGAAGGAGGGGGGGGGGGAAATAATAAAAAAGGCGCCGCATCAAATTACCGCATCGTTGTTGGAAATTATCTGCAGAATAGTCAGCTAGCTAATTCAGCTAGCCATTTTTTTTTTTTTTTTTTCGTGTGTGCACTTTTCCTGAGCAAGGTAACGTTTGACCATTCTAGTATCGCTTAAAAAAAATATGTGAACAAGGTTGATTTCTTCAAATGGGGAAGTAGCGCGGAATTATAAGGCAAGAAAGGTTACCCGCGGGGGGTGACCTTTGGTATTGCAGGCAGTTAGCCTAGTTCATGGCAATGAGGAGACTAGGCAGTCACATAAAGGGGGGGGTGTGTAACCTTGTTAACACGTTGTAGACACAAACAAATCACATGTTGGTCACCTCGGTGATATGCACCAAGGGAGAAAAAAAAAATAGAAACAACCCAAACGTGGACGAGAAAGAGGTGGTAAGAGACGGTGGACTTAAAAAAAAAAAAAAAAAAAATTGACATCACAATGGGCAGGACCAGGAAAAAAAGGCGGGGTGGTTAAAAAATTGCGCCAAACCGCTAATTAGCCAACTGGCGGGGCTTACCCTCTCCGCACGTCCCGATCGCTTTCTGGTTGCTTCTGATCGAAGCCCTTCGAAAGAAGCACGCCCTCCATGGAGCCACCACTGGAAAGGGAAATGTTGCCATCCATATCGGGCACTCCAAATTCCTCAGATGAAAAATTGTCCGAGTCATTCCTACTTATATTAACGTAGTGCCTTTTCAGCTGCTCCAACGTTTTAGTCAGGTCTTTATGTTCCTTGTACAGTAGCGCTGTTTTTTCTTTTATTTTGTCCTTCTGAATCATTTGTTCGTGAGATTTTTTCTTGCTCGTGTCACTAATTCGTTGGCACTTGCGCAGCTTCTTGTTTAGCCTTCTAAGTTTTTTCTTGTCCTGGAGCTTTTCCAATTTTTTGTATAGCATGAACATGTAAAAGTAGGCAGTGAGGTTTCCGCAGTATTTGAGCTTGAGTTCTGTGAGGATTAGATAAAATTCGGACAGGGGGATTTTCCTGTCCAGGAGATCGTCGCTGAAAAATGAGAAGAGCTTCTCTTTCTCTTCATCGGACACTGTGAGGGGTTGAAGCGGTGGTGTGGTGATGAAATAATTGGAGGATGCACCAAATTGAGGGTGTAACTTATCGATGGTGCCACGTAATGGCGAGCGAAGTGTTGGCGTGCCGAGCGTGTTACCTTGAATTTCGGGGTCCTTTCCGCTTAGGCTGGAGTTTCCAGAAGTGTCTCTAGACGACTGCCCTGGTGCTGTCTTGCCAACGCTTCGACAGGACTCCATTCGTTCCTCTTCAAAGAGTAAAGGACCTTGCAGCGTGTCGACATCGAGATTAAGCAGACCACAATCATATTTACAATTTTTCAAATTATTTATTTTGTTTTCTTCCAACTTTTTATTTTCGCTACATTTTTCCATCCGTTCGAGAGACCACTGAATGATGTTCTTAAAGTTCTGCTCCTGATCCATAGACACAAATATTTTATCCTTATGGTCCAGGTTGTCAATCAAGTTTCCTATGTTGATGGTAATTTTAAATATGAACTCGAAAAAGATTTCCGAAATGTATGTTAACGTAACGTTCTTCATGAATATGTCGAGCAATTCTTTGTAAATTTCAATTGCGAACATGCGTTGTTCCTTGTTGATATTTGCGCAAACAGACTCGTTATTATTTATGGGAAAAAAGCAGAAACTCATTTTTTTTTCTTTTTCCGGTAAATTGTGTGTGAAAAAATGGTGATCATTTTTGTTTCCTTTTTTTCCCTGCACGTTCAGGCTTCCATGTTGTTCATCATTCTTGGCTGCCCATGTTGGTCTTCTTTTCACCCTTTCTTTTGGTGGCCCCCCTTGGATGTTTCCAAGGGATTCGTCGTTTGGGAGATTTCCTGCACCTTGCTTGAGTTGCTCCTGTCCATCGCGGCTACCGTAGTGACTCCCCATATGGGTGCTGCCACAAGTGCCAAAGCTGTCATTATCACTGGCGCGACTTCCGCCTCGGTGGCGATTTCCCCGCCGCTGCTTCATCCCCTTTGTCCAAAATCCGCGCACATTGTTGAAAATTCGCCTGAACGAGTCAGCAAAAAGTCTGACTTTTTTTTTTTTCTCCATAACGCAGTCAGGTAAAATAATCGAAATTTGTCTTGCATTCTTGTCGTAGTAAATTAGGGGCTCCTGTCTCTTTCTCCTTTGTACAACATCGACGAGCGCTTTGGCAAAGGTGCTGAGAATGGGCACGTGGTAGAAGGCCTTCTTCCGCCTGAGATTATCGATGCATTCGTAGAACAAACAAATCAACAATTTAACAGAGAACATGACATGCAGCAAAATCAGGGAAAACAAAATAACAAAGTTCAGGAATTCATTCAGTTTGATAGAAAGCAAAATGGATATAACGACGATGGTTGAAGTCCATATGAATAAACTCGTATTTTCCAACTTGTTTAGGGTAAAAAAATTTCTCTTGTCAAATGGCTGAAAGATAAAATGCACACACAGGGAGAATATCGCCACGAAAGTAATTAGCAGCAACTTGGATGTGTTGGTTTCGTCTGATGGGAACAACACAACAGTGGTGATGAAAAGAAAAAATATCTTCCTCGCAAAGACTATAATCTCCCAATACCACCTATTTGGCAAATACCCATTGTGTAAGAAGCCATATTTTATGCGAACATTTTCTTGAAATAAATTATGTCTATTTGTGTATAGGACGAAGAAGGAGAGTAAGGGGATCCCCAGGGACCATATAACTGTCCCGGATAAACCCAAAATGAAAAACTTCAAATAATCTGTCTTCAAATCACATTGGACACTGCTGACTCCGCTTAGGATATATCTGCCCAAATTTTTTGTGTACATAATGTATGAGCAGTCAAATAGCTGAAACATTCTCATGGAAGTTTTTGCATGTATCATAAATAAAAAAGTAACATACACTGGAATCATATCTTCAAAAAAGATAAATGTTCTATCCATCCAAGTGTAGTGTTGTAATTTTATATACCTCAATATCATGATAAACCTTTCTTTGGAATAGGATTTCTCTAAGGAATTAGCCAAGAAATGAATTCTCTCCCTTTTGGCTATACTCAGCAAGTCCAGTTTGTTCGCAATTGCCTTCTTTCGCAACAGCGTGTATATTTTCAGAATAACAAACAACATGAAGGTTAACGTGCCCATGAGGAGTACAGGGATAAAAAAAAATAACAAACTGGAATAAAAGAAAGAGTCCGCATAGCTTAGGTCAAAATAATGTCTCAATAAACAATCGATACTAATGATTCTTCTACTCTCTCCTATATTTATTAATCTGGTAATGTGGATATATAACTGGTGCACAAACTCTGGTAAAAGTAAATTTTTATCATCCAAAATGTTAATAAGCAGCATGCTCGAAATGTAGTTGACTGCAATTTTTATAACAATCGAATGGATCGACCTTCTGTAAAACCCAGAAGACACATTCAGGTATGATATAAGAATGATGATAAAGCAAAATGTAATGTAGATGGAGAATAGGATAATAATGTTAACAGTGTTGTTTGGACATTGAACACACACAGATCGCATAAAAGTGTTGGTATACCCCTTTGCACATTCAACACATAAATAATTATTCATGCTGTGATGACATTTGTTTCGTTCAAGACAGGCATTTTGTATTGGACATTTTATAAACTTCCACTCACTTACATCTATATTTTTTGTCATCAATTCATCCAAGTAGTACCCTCTTTTAGATTCTGGCTTCACATGATCTTGTGCAGTTATGTGAATATTCTCTAACCCTAATTGTATCATACTCATGGCGTTTTTGTATAACCCTCCTTTGCATGTAGCCCCTTCTAAGCAAGCCAAACAGTTTTGTTTACTATAAAAAAAACCCTCTTTACAGAAGCAGTGCGTTGGGTACACAGATCCTTCGAGACTGGTAGATTTGGGGGGACAAGACACGCAGGATGTTTCATCTCCAACGAAATTTTTGAATGTTCCTTCTTTACACGGTTTGCATATCTTAACTGATCTCTTCATATCTTTCGACTCTAAGTAGTACCCCTTGGCACATTTACAATCGTCGTAGTCGTGGGCAGAATCTACTCCCAGCGGGATTGCTGTGTGGTCTGGGCATTTCACAAGGTGTTGATATTTTGCGTACACTACGTTGTCGTTGTCTCTGTAGAAGAAGCTCCTCAATAGAAGGTTCATTGAATTGTCTTGCTTTTTTTTCTGGTTCATTTGCCGATTTGGGGAACCCGCTAGGTCGTGTCTCTTTAGTACGAGACTTGTGGACGCGTCCGCTATGGTGCTTAGGCGGCTGAGCAGCATAACGGGAACGGGCTTAGCAAAGTAGCTACCTATAGGGACTTTCCTGCGGCGCTTGCGCTGCCTGCGCCCCTTACCCGGAACAGCGCCTCCACGGGGTTGAATGGCAGCTGCGCCTTTAGATCCATCCTGAGCCACCCCCTGAGATGCGTCCGCACTTGTACCCTGATTGCTGGATTCATCCCCCTCTTTCTGAATTTTCCCCTTCCCCCTGTGCACATCCCCACTACCACCCTTGTGCGCCTCGTCACCCCAGAGCACACTATATTCGCGGATCACCCAGTTAACGAAGCGACGCCCATGGGAGGGGCCAAACGACCCGATGTTCCTCCTAATGTCTTGGATTATCTGATTGTAAATGCCCGGGGGCACTTCGAATATGCTTTCACCCTGGCAGTACAGTTTGGTGAAGGAGCACGGTTTGCATATCTGTTCTTCCAAGTAGTACCCCTCCTTGCAGAGGCAAAAGTACAAGTCTGAATTGTTGATATTCGTAAGAGTAACACTGTTTGGGGGACACTCGTGACAGGCTTCATTCGCTATGGTCGATTTGTAGGTCGAGTTTGGGCACCTGCTGCATAGCAGGAAGGAGGGGTTCTTCTTATTTGTCTTGATCTGTTCATGAGTAGCATCCTTGTTCGCAATAATATGAATGAAGGTGTTGCTCCTTGTGAGGACTTTTCCAAAGTTCACAAATGAGGGGAACCGATTGGGCTGTTCGCTACGATGGCGGTTAGTATGGCGCCTACTATGGCGGCTACTGTCCCTCTTGACAGACGTGTACGAATTTATAACCTTATTGACCTGGGCGTTTGGTGTGTACCCAAAGTTGCACTGGCAGTTAGCCAATTCGTAAGAACCCGTTTTTACATTTCCAGAGTTTTGAGGGCATTTTATAGGCCCCCTAAATTTGTTCTTGTTGTTTTTCTCAGGGCAGTAGTATCCTATGGGGCATTCGATACACATGCCCCTTTTCTTGCTATAAAAAAAACCCTTATTGCATATGCACTCATGAATAGATTTAGCCCCCTCCACTAGGGTGATGCTGTTGGAAGGGCAGGGGGTACCCAAGTCGTTCGATATAGTGTCTTTGTAAAAGTTGAGTGGAGCCAATTTACAGTGTTCATTTAAGTTGTAGGATTCTTGTAGGTGCTTTACATACCCTTCTACACATAAGCAATTTTTAAAAGAGTTATTATATTCGTTTGGCTCTTCCGTGACGGAGTTGTTTGGACATATGACTGCATCTCCAGTGTATTGAGTCAATCCATATGGTGCAAAGCTACCCACACAAAAGTGGTTAGGGAGGCATGTAGAACAGACCTGATGCGAATCTTTGTAGTAACCACTATAACATGAGTTGCAACTATCTATGGTGGCACTTCCATACTTTTTGTTCATAGATTTTTTTGGACATTTTTTACATTTGTCTGATGATACGGTATCTTTGTAATAACCTATTTTGCATTCCATGCATATATGTTTGGGGTTAATTTGATTTGGTTTATAAGTGTAGGTATTAAAGAAAAGGTTATAATAATGTTTTTCCCTTGATCCGTTTTCCTGTACCTTTTTCATATTAATAGGTTCATATCCCTTTTTGCAGAGGCAGCTATTTATTGTAGTAAAATCGGTTCGTTCATCTAGCAAAGTCTCGTTATGTTTGGGGCATTTTTGTATGTTCTCTAATTTACCTGGACAATAATGGTGTGGCAAACACTTCTCACATATACTAGAGCCAAAGACATCAAAGGTTAAAAAGTAGCCAGGGTTGCATCTGCAGGAACTTTCTGCTTCAGTTTTCGCCCCCAATATGTAGGAGCTTGAATTTTCGATACACCCATTTCCTTTGCATAGATTATTCGATATGGTGTCTTTATATTCTCCAAATTTACAAGGAAAGCAAATAAACTGGTGAGGATTTTTCGGGTCCATTATATATTCATACCCTACGTCACAAACACAATGCTGTTCATTGGTGGGAACAGGGACAGAGGTGGTTTTATTTGCCTTACACGGGATGCAAGAAGTGTACCATTTCATATTCTTTTTGATCTCCTTAAGATTGTTGTAGGAGCCCTTGGGACATGGTCGACACTTTTTCTTATCGAAGTAGTGTCCTTTCATGCAAACGACATTGAAGCGGACACGTGAAGTAGACACATGGAACAAACCATGCATTGTCACACGTAGTTCCATATGTGGCGTTTCAATTCTGTTCAGATTAATTAATATTACTCCTGTTTTTTTGTGAATAATTATATTTTGCCCCTTCAGAGAAGGGTCCATATCACTTATGGTAAAATATTTGATCTGTCTCTTATCTCCTTTAATGAAAGGAACAATTTCGATATTCTTATTGTACACATGCCACGTATTTTGTTTATATATAACTTTCGTAGTGCTCAACCTTTCATGCATGAAAGACCAGACAGCGTGCTGGATCTCATTCTCCTTCCTTATGAAGGAGTTAATAAAATTGGTGTCTTCATACGAATATGCAAAAATGGAACTTACTCTGTAGCTAGACATGTGCTCATTTCTTACATACTTGTAATACTCTATTTTCCTTTCTGACTTGTCTGTTGAATATATATGCAATTTATTCGACTCACTGCTAGACACATAAATAATGTACTCGTCCAGCTTCCTTATCACCGTCATGTCTTTCGCGAGCTCGAAAGCTATCTCTAAATCCTTTTCCGTGTATGTATATATATGTTTTATGTATGCCTTTTTTACCTCCTTTGATGGGATGTTCTGCGCTTGAATGCCAAGGCTTTTATTCTCACTCTTCTGCTGTAAGAAAGATTGCTTGGGGGATACCTTCTTCATTTTTTGCCCTCGTTCGCTGGTCTCCTTCTGCAGCTGATGTGCACCACTTGGGTGTGCCTCCGTAAAAGACCTAAACTGTGTGTGTTCACCTAATATAAGGTCGAACCACAAAATTTGGTGAAACTCGTATAGAACGAAACAAGTGACGGTGTTGTTACCCAGACACTGAATCTTAATCGGAGTGGACTTAATAAAATTATCAAGGCTAGAATCGCTGAACTCTATTTCTTCAAAATTGCTGTTCCAGAGGGAGACTACATTGTTTTGAAGTAAGAAAATGAAAAAGGTATCTCCTAAATACGTGAATTTATGTATACTGTTTGTTCTCGCAAGCTTTAATGTATATCTAGTGTTCACCAGGGTGAGGTCGTAAAAATCGCTTGTTCTGTACTTCCTCATAGCTGGCTGTTTCGTGCTGAAGGTGTAGATGTAAGCAATGGGGTGCGGCATGTTCGATGAGCCGGCTTCACTTTGGTAGCTCGCCAGGGGGGTAGAGTTCGTGGTGCTGCTAGTTTGTAGTCCAGTTGGGGCAGGGATAACCATGTTAGAGGTGTTAGTAGTAGCGACAGACGGAGACACCATCTCCAGGAAGGAAAACGCAGGCGCATAAAAGTCGTACTTGATCAAAAAAAATGGAGTCAAGTGCTCAGATGTGACAAACCAAAGGGAAACGTAATTATCCTCCTCATGCGACCACAGTGACAAAATGCTCATTTTGAAGGAGCCTGTCTTCTCTCCCACGTGTATATTAAAATGTGTTCTTACAACCAAGAACAAATCTGTAGTGAGGTAGGTATTATGTGTGCTGTTTGGAAGGCTTCGCACATGAAAATAATGAGCAAAATCTTCATACGGAGAAAAAATGAAATCGGAAAAGTTGACTAGCGAAACAGAGCTAAGCGCATCAAGCCTCTTCTTTCTTTCACAAAGATAATTTAATGAAACATCAATTTGCTTTATTTTTTGTAAAGAAAAAGTATAAAAGCGATTCCTTTTTTTTCCCCTTTCAGGTATGTCATTCTGGGGACTCCTGCTGAAGGAGCTTTTAAAATGGTTATAGTAGAAAGCGCCTGAATATTTCCTCAGCCTATTAATTTGTGTTTCTTCTACAATTTTTGAAGAAAATTCTTTTAAAAAATTGGTGTCTGTAAGTGTGCATGAAATGGCGCTAAAGGAGAATAGGTGATCGGTGAGACTAAAATTTGCCACGTCGTTTAAGAAGACTCTATCCTCAAAAACGGTGGTTTCCTTCTTTAAAAAATATTTCACATTTGATGTGTTGTAGTTATTATAAGTAATTAGACCTACGTAGGTGAAGCTCACTGTGCTGTATGATGGGTTTTTTATACACATCAAATTGGACCCATTTCTCAAATTGTAAATTTTGTGAAACGATAGTTTGTGAGGGTCTTCTCGGTTCACATTCGCTCTACGGCCATCCACATCTACATGTACTGCCTTGCCGACGTGTGCAGATTTAGGCACCTTGGTAAAGTGCACATTTCGTTTGAGCATCGTTTTCAGGTCAAAAATTTTATCCGCGTAAGCATAAAGAGTGGAGTAGTTTTTGGAGCTGTCCAAACCGGTAATTATCTTCTGAGTCGATTTACTAATATCTACATTAAGCAATTGTTGATAAAGATTTTTGGGTGTATTTTCTAAGAAGCGTAAATTCTTACATTCATAAGAATATTCCCCATGCATTATATAAATCTCCCTGTTTTGCATAATCACATTATCAATATTTAAGGATAGACTTTGCTCCTTATTAACATGAAACACATTAACTGACGTATTAAAAATGTGGTCACTCGATAACATATTCCCCACTTTAGTAACATAGCGTTTAGACAAACAAGGCTTGAAGTCCGCAGTAGAGTAGTAATCCATATAGCATGCACACATGGACAGAACAACATTGTGATAAATGCGCATGTGAAAATTTTTAAAAGAAATAGTTACAGCTATGTCTCCATCTACATTATGGTATGTATAATCAGGAGCTTCTTGTATAATGTTCATAAGGGGGTCATCCATTGCTGCATATAAGTTAGCACAATCTCCTGTAGTAAGTGCTAAACGAAAATCAGATACATTTTTCATCGTCACATTAAAGTTGTATAAAGATTCATTAATGTAAGTAATGTCATTCATTATTATGTCTTCTTTTCTCTCACAAAATTCTCGAAATACAAACCCATTCATGTTAACAAAGCAATATATAGTAATTAATTTTTCAGGATTTCGACAATAATTATGTGTATATTCTATACCTAAAATTTCCTTTACATTTAAAGAACTCCAGGGTAAGCACTTCTTACCTGATATAGACTTGTCTTGGCACCCCTTGTACATTTCCCCATTCCCTTCCAAGTCTTCATTACACAAATCATACAAAATGGAATTCATCGATTTCTTATAATTGACTTTAAATTTGGCAATGTCTTTTTCAGTATTCTCTAAAAAACCTGCACATGGACTTATCGTACTAAATTCGCTGAAACAACTCTTCAGCACTTTGTCCATGTCTAACAGGTCATGAGGAATGCAATATTGTTTATTATTTTGAAAACGAAACACTTTATTTTCTCCACATAAATTATCTAATTTCCTTTGCTTCTTCGAAATGACACAACTTTTCATCTTTAATCTGTTTACAACCTCTCCTGGGATACTCTTAACTGCAGCCGTTCCTGGGAAACCAAAGCATCTGATAATTTTTCCACAGTTGTCTACGCATCGAGGAAAATTCACATGTCTTATTAATTTTTCTTTATTGAAGCAAAAGCAACTTTTTGTCCCTTCTATGCATCTCGATATTTGTGGGTGGCAGTACTGGTTTAGCATGATTTGTAGGGCGCTGTACAGGTCTCTGTTTACGTAAATGTATTTTAGTCTACTTTGTGCAAAGGACTCCGCGGGCCTCCTCTCCTTCATTGTCTTGTCACCCTGCCCGTTCACCTCTTTATGCATGTCGCCGTTCATCTCGGACGCATGTCCCCTCTTGCGCCTACCCCAGTTTAGGCCCATTGACGCATCATCGCCGATTTTCACCTGACTCGCTCCGATCGGTCTCCTCTTCCCCCTCTCCCCAACCTGTTCGTTCTTCCATTCACCGTCAACAAAATTCACGTCTAAAATGTTCAAGTTTTCCCTTTTCTCATTCTTCAACCTTGGCACAAACAGACACCACATGGTGAGAAATAGACTCACCCAGTTTATACTCATTCTGTTGTCTACTTCCAACTGTGGGTTGAGGGGTTGTGGCACAGCACACGTGTACTCATTTGAAGGTTGCCTTTTTTTTTTTTTTTTGCTACGTTTGGCTACGCGGGATGATGGGTAAGCGCGTCTACTTTAGCTATCTCAGCGTAGATTCGCCGACTTTGTCTACACGTGCGCATGGCTTCTTTTCAGATTTCATTTATCCGTCATGTCTACTTATTGCATAGGGGCTTTACACACACATCTACGCGAAGGAAAAAAAAAAAAAAAAAGTACAAAATTGTACCGATTGGTTAAACAGATGGGAAAGATTTGTACAAACCGTGCTACTTCATCTTTAAAAAAAAAAAACTTGCAATGCAGAAAAGAAGGACAAATATAGGTCTACTGCTCAGAAAGTTTATATACACATTTTAAGACTAAAAAATTGGACATGAGTTTTTACCTGCTATGTTGACATGTATAAGTGGAGAAATATATTTTATCTTACTTTTTTTTGCCTCTCCTTTAGCTTAGCAGGCCTACCCAGATGGTACACAAAAGTGTAAGTGCAATATGTACCACGGTGGGAGATGTATGACTTGTGGTGGTGCTCCAGGTTGGGCCATTTTTTTTTTTTCCATGTAGGTTGCATGCAACAGTATATATAGACAACTCATTTTTTATCCTACCTTCGTTTTTCCCCACTTTTTGCACACTTGAATATGGCAAAACCGAGTTACATAACTCCGTTATACACGCTTGTATGCATGCACACGTAACGTATGTGTACCTTCGCGAAGCACGTGTGCCCCTCTCTTGTGTTTACTTTTTGGGGGTAGGGCGGCGAGTCGGCTGCAGACTCATGTTGCAGGGGGCAAATAAAATTTTTTAAAGGGGTGTTTAAATGATCAAAAAAAAAAATAAACAAATGAACAAATACATAAAAATAAAAAAAAAGCTGAAGAGAAAAAATTACATTTTACATATAAAAAAAAAAAAGGAGCCAAATTTTAACTGTCGTTTTTATTTTTTTCTTTTGGAGCTCGTTCCTCTAAATGGGTAAATTCTTCACCACAAGTGACATTTCCCATGTTACGTGCAAATTTTGCAAAAAGGGGGGTCCATGAAAAATGCAGGTACTTTGGGCTGGGTCTCATAAAGGGTCAACCCTGTGGGAAGATTAGACCCAAAAGTACAACACATTTGCAACTTCGCTTCGAAGCGCAATTGCTGCCGACCCCCCACATACCGAATGGGATCTCCTAATTAATGTAGTCGTCACCGAGGCATTCGTTTAAGGTCATATGTTGTCTTACGTTCTGGTTTGTGTGTGTGCTTACGTTTTGGGTCACACTTCGAGCTGCACTCGGGGCACCAATGGGGGCTCCATGTTCAGGGTGATTTTCCCCCTGTTCATCCCCCTCCTCCTTGCACACACTTAACAAATTGTTAACAAACTGGGCCGAGAGAGAAGAGTAGCTTTGTGGTTTTTGCAAAACGAGTTCACTGTTATTTTTCGTAATGACTATATTTTTGCTACATATGTGAAAAATCTTCTGAATGTTCTGATTTTGCTTATCCAGACATGTCAATATATCCTCCACATAAGCATACGCCTTGCTCTCCTCATATATAATGTTGTTAAAAAGATCTATGTACTTTTGTATTTCTTTTACGTACTCTTTGATATAGGTTAGGGTTTCTATCAGTACTGCATTTGGCTTTGCCGACCTGAGGTGTACAATATCTTTAATTTTTTGCAGTCGGTCATTTATGTTGTTACACAATTCATCGCACTTTGCGGAGCAGTTTACGCCAACGCCGTTGTTAAAGATTCCATGAGACCTTTTCCCATAGCTGTCGTCACTCCCCAGGGCCTCATGACACAACGTTTTAATGTTTTCATTGATCAGTTTGTGACATATTTTGTCCGTCATGGTACTGCTTCCCGTTTGGTTGTAGACGTGGGCGAGAACATAGCAGGGCCGTGCTAAAGCGCAGCTGATGAAGGGACAAGGGATACACGCGTAAATGTTCCTCGTGTGAAAAATGCTTCGATCTTGTGTACGCAACGGTTGTCTGGTTAAGAAATATTCTCTTAAAGTTGCCACACAAGAGGGGGCGCGATTACTCGATAACCAAAATTTTAAAGGGGGATACCTTTACACCTTCATCATATGGACCATAATTTTTTTTTTTTTTTTTTTACACATTCGTTTGCACACAATGGGGAAAACACGTATATTCTTTTTTTTTTTTTTTTTTTTTCTGAACTGTTCATACAAAATTGCAGTTTGTGTATATGTGTTAATGTTTGCTTAGTGGGTTTTCCTGGTTCCTGTTAAGGCCGAATTTTAGAGCTCCTTTGTGCTAATATTTCGGTTATGTTTTGTGTCGCATTGCGCTAAACTGTGCAGCTGAGTTGTGCTATTTGCGCTATTCTGTACCTTTTTTTTTGGTGTATTTTTTCTGCTTGCCCACTTTAGCGCAGAACTGTGATCAACAATTAGCTAGCTAAAATGTAACCTTATAAAAAAAAAAAAAAAAAAAAAAAAAAAAAAAAAAAAAAATTCATAGTGCAGGCAAAAGTCACAATTTACTTGTGTGCCTAATTGGGGGGAAATTCTCCATCCCCGTAAAAAGCAGCTCACACTGGTTCTGCTTAACATTTGGGATTAAGCCCCCCCTCCTATCCTATATGTATGATGTCCCCAACGGAGGTGTTACCTTTTTTCTTCACCTTATAAAGAGACTGAAAAAGGTAGAAAAAGTCGTCATGCGTTCTATTACATGAGCGTATAAAAGATGAAATGGACGTAAATCACTGCGTACGGCGCAGAGAAGAACGTGTCATTACTCTTTTTATGGCATTTAAAATGTCGCCATTTTAAACCAGAATATGCTAGGGAGACCAAACGAAGGCGTGCCTTCATTACGATTTTGCCAAATGGTTAAATCATCATTTGTTCCTGCTGAACCGCTGCCTCAGCGTGATGGAGGAAAAAGGGGCTTCGCTTTGGAAAAAACAAAAATTGTGTGTGTCACTCCATTTAGCGCTTTGCACAAAGTTGCCTTGTTGAAAAACCACATGCGTGAAAGCAAACCGAATGCCCTTTAATTTTACTCCATTATGTGAAAAGGCTGAGGGGGAGCACGTTTGCCAAGGGACAAAAAGCATGAACTGCCAACAGTGTATAGTCGCACATTTTGGGTATAATATAAAAAACTGTCTTTACATAACAATAATATATGACGTACAAAATGGAACCTATTTTTGTGGCAGCTTTGCTCTATGTATGCCTTTGTAAAGTGGAAGCGATTCACAAAACTGGAGTGTGTACAACGTTGCGCTATTATTTCTTGTCTCATCGCTTCATTCAATGCTGTTCCCAATTATTTCCCCTGTGTTCTTCCTGAAGAGCTCAGCCCCACGCTGCATATACCGCTCGGCGCAGCCCAGCCAATTCTGTATTAAAATAAAAATTTACTCAAAATGGGTAAGTCCTTTTGAAGGAAAAAAAAAAAATTAAATACGATTAAAAAGTGAAAACACATGTGGCGAAAATGAAATCAGCACGTGTGTTTGTCTTATCGGTTTTATGAAGAGGGCGCAGAAAAAATCATGTTAATTACTAAAAAAAAAAAAATAATAAAATGAAATAGCAAAAGGGTCAACAATGAAATGGGGAATAATCAAATGGTTTTAAGTTGATAGGAACGAAGTGAAGGTATGGCAATGAAACTGCAAATGAGTCAATCCTCCCGAAATTCGCTTACGTAAAAAAAAAAAAAAAAAGGGACAAAAATTTTACTGGGCAAATATGCATACATGGTGTGTAAATAGTACCTTCACTCGTAAACTCCTTATGAGGCGCACTGAAAGCAGGGTAAACGTTGCATAAGGAAAGCTGCTTTAACGCGCGCGCATAAACATTACAATTCGGAAAGGAAAAATGGAGCCAGTGCTGGGGAGAGGGAAAGTGGGGTGGCATATGCACAGAGCAGGGAGGAGTTAACAAAATGTATGCATGAGAAAGACACGTTGTCAAATCATGTGTGTGCAACCCTATATCTTGCGTATCGTGTCAACGCGTCGTTCATCATGAAGCGTCCCCCTCGCACATTTCTACATCGGGTCACTGTTCTCCGGCTCGTGGTAGCTCTCGAGACTCATCGAATCAATGAACTTGGTGTGATGCTTGCTCTTGTTGTACTTATTCATTTGGTCATGGAGCCAGACGTAAAATTCCTTGTTCGTGTTTAGCCGCTCACCATAAATGGTGTGGTAATTTTTGCACGTCTTGATGATATTCTCGTACATATTTTTCACAATTTTTTTAATAAAATAAGTGACCATTTTTATTGGCGTATACTTAAACTCATTTTCCACATGAACATATAGCTCCAGAACGGTGGAGTTTCCATTATTCAATGGGTATATTAAGAAGCATAAGTTGGCTGCCCTTTGTCTGTCCATTTTGGGTGTGGGTTCTGGTAACTGGCTATCGAGAAAAGTGACGTCTCTTTTTACTTTTCTGAATTTTAATTGGGTTTCTTTAACTTTTAATATTTCTTCATTTTTGTTTATGTTCAATTGTTCGCACATGTTTAGGTAGAACTCAATGTCTTTCTTCAGCTCCGGGGGGCACATGCAGCAGAGAATTAGGCATCCGAGTTCTTCCAGCGTGTTGGCGCCTGAAGGGGGGGGGAGGGGTAAAAAAAAACGGGGAAGAGAATTATATAAGAGGGCAAAGCAATAAAGCCGTAAAGGCATCAAGCCGCCCATCGGCTTATCCGCTCGTCGGCTTATCCGCTCATCGGACGATGCACTCACCCAGGCCGTACAACAGCGACTCCTTCTTCCCTATTATGGGGTACTCGTAGAGCTGCGACATGATGCCGCTTGATTTCGACAAGCCTTTGATTTTCTGCGAGGACGTCAGGAAGGGAACCCAGTGGGTGCTTAGCTCCGTTTCGCTCAGAATGGACAGGATCATGTTGACCTCGTAGGGAAGCTTCGCCCGTATATGAACAGAAACATTATTATCACTATCCACTCTGTGCCACAAATCTAAATATTTATCATTTTCCTTAATCCAGCCTTCTTTGTTTTGTTTCATTTTCCTAAAGTTTTTAAGTCGTCTTGAATATTTTTGAATAATTTTAACCATATGGTGATTACTTCCTTTTGTGTTTATGTTGTTTTCTTCTTTTGAATTTTTCTTCGTATCTGAAACTTTGCTGCTGTTCAGGATGCTGGACCCGTTGCACTCGTCGTGATACATTTTATCCACAATGACTTGACTCTCTCGTTTTGCTTGTTCCACCTCCTCGTCGTCCTTCTTGTTGCCGCTCGGATGATCGTCCGCTGGGCCCTCGTTTGGTTCTTCTGTCTCTTCGCCAGGGTCTTCACATGCATGATCGACAGATCGGTCTGCATTAACCTCACCGCTTTGCGCATTTTGCTCATGACCATGCACCTCACCGTGCAACTCACCATGCACTTCACCGTCCAAGCTGAGGCCCATGGCGGACAAGCCGCAAGCGGGGCCCTCATCGGAGTTTACAGCGACATGCTCGGCGGAGTGAGCCTCAGAAGATTTCCTGTCCATGTTCGCATTTTCCCCCGAAGTCTGCAAAGTGTTGTTGTCCACGCTGTTGCTCATCATGTCAGAGGATATGCTGTTGTTCTTGTCCACTGAAAAGTAGTATGAATAATCTTGAAGCACGCTCGTCATCTCATGCAAGCGAAAAAAATTTAAAATATAAAGCATTAAATGGACTTTTAATCTGTTCACACTATAACTGACATTCTTATCAGTGCAGTTCTCTTCATAATAGTTTGTTAACATTTGAACAACTTCTTCGTCATTCATTTTTTTGAAATAGCTGATATAATATTCTACGTACTTTTGTACATGAACGATTAACTTTTGCGCTCTGAAAAGTTTCTCGTCCGAAATGTACTCTTCAATTTTTTGTGAGAAATTTCTTAATTGTATGAAAATGACGTTTCTGTCAATTCTGCCTCCACTGATAAGAGGGTTTGGACTGACCAGAGGACTGATCTCGTAAGCAGAATGCTCTAAATTATTTTTTTCACTTGTGTGTGTGGACAGTAAGGATGAGGAAGCATTGAGGTTGTTTACACTTGCGTAATGTGACTCTTCTTTACCTGTGCTCATGAATTGTATGTTTGTGTCTTGTTGTTCTCCTTGCTCATGCTGCTCACTCTGCTCATTTTCGTCATTGTCGTCATTGCCGTCATTCCGCTCATTGTCCAGCAGGGTAGGGTTTTCTCCGTCTGGGAGTTCCCCTTCCATGGGGTCATTCTTGCTGTTGCAGAAGCCAATGTTAAACATGGTGGACATGTTCGTGTAACCATTCCTGTTGTTAGCGTCGCTTTCCCCAGGTGCGTCTTCCCCTCCCTGGGTGGAGTCGCATGGCTCGCCTTCACCACCGTGGTGAGAAGCCTTCCAACAGAAAATGCCGCTCGCCTTATTCGCGTCCACGGAATTAGGGGCCGAATAATCCTCCTCATGTTCATTACAAAAAAAGTTATTCTTATGACAGAAAAAGTTAGAAGTTTTGAACAACTCATTTGGGGGCACCGTTAATTCAGAATGTGTGTCTTCTTCATTTATGTAGTCCTTTTTTTGCATGCAGTTGAGATATTGGCAAAATGTGATCCATGCGTCATGCATGTCGCAATGCTGTGTGTTGTCTCCTTCTTCCATCGTGTTATCATCATGCGTGGACATGGTAGTGTCCTGATTTTCGTCAGGTGCTATCCCGTTGTGGTTTTTGCTTTCCACATGAATTACATCGTTCTGATCGTCCATGATGGGTCCTAACTCCTCAGGCGAGAAGTCTGCATTTTGTTCTTCATTGTCGTAGCGGTTATAGGCATGGAGATCATTTCGGTTGTAGGTGCGACTACCAGGGTTGTCATTTGCGTACTCGTCAGCGCGGTCATTTTCGTTGTTGCTATTTTTTCTACTCTTTTTATTTACTACATTTCTTCCTTTTGCTATATCCGTTTTCGGAGCGTGAGCTCGTTTGTTCCCCCTCCTTTCATGTTTTTTTGTTTTTTTTTTTACATGTGCACATGGGTTTTGTGCCACTTCGTTTTGGACCTCCATTTCGAAAAACTCCCTTTTCTCTCAGAGGCAGGTACTTTTTTAAAAGGAGTTCCCCTTTCACATTTATCTTTGGAGTTCTTTTTTTTTTTTTTTTTTTGTTTTCCACTCCCCGGCCCCTACGCGTTTGCTTCTTACAAATTCTACTACTGTGTGATGTTGCTCGATAATGGAAAAAGGTGTTGCATGCACCGCGCAGGTGTGAGTGATAAATTCGAGAGTGTAAAAAAGTTTTTTTTTTTCGCGTGAGGACAATATTTCTTTTTCTTCCTTTTATAAAGGTAATGTTTATGGAACTCTACCTTTTGCTAGAGTAATATTTCTCGTTCCACTTTTGTTGGCGACTATGTTTCTTTTTCCTTGCCGTTGCGCATCTCCTTCTGTTTGAAGGAATTCGTGCAATCTAGGTTGAAACCTTGGAACTGCTAGTTTTGGTTATACTTGGAAATATTTTAATGTGTTCTATCCTTTTTTTTTTTTTTTTTTTTTTTTTTTTTTTTTTTTTTTTCTCTTCCCTAAGTGGTTACAAAAAAATAAAATAATAATTCGCTTTTTTTTGTTGTTTTTTTTTTTTTGCACCGTGGTGTTTACCGTTGCACTTGCGGGCGATCACACATGTGCGTGCTACCTGGTTCCACTCAAACCGGTAATTAGGGGTTGCAAATCTGTTCTGTACCCGATGTGAGCACCACTCTTTCGCGCCCTATCGATCTTTCCTCCAACGATGTTGTGTTTACCGCTCCCTTTTTATTCTGCGGGCCTCGCCACTGCCACTTTTTATGTCAGTGGTGTGTTGCGGGTACGTGTGTCGCTCCGTGCAGTTCTGTTTGGTTTTGCTTGTTCTGCTTAGTTCTACTAAGATTTACAAAGTTTCACTCGGTTATATTTCGTTTTATTTTGTTCTACTTCGTTTTGTTCCTCTTCCCCGTTTCACCGCGGCGCTGTGTTGTTCCCTCGTGGCCTTTCTTTGTTACTTTTTTTTTTTTTTTTTTTTGTTTGCTTCCCCTATACCGTACAAGTGTACTTTTCCTTTTGTCGATTCTTCACACCCCACATGTTCATCGCACGTGCTGTGCACATGTACCTCAACTGTTAATCAAGACTGTGAAGAAATATTTACTCGCGAAGTGGTCACACATTTTTTTTTTTTTTTTTTTTTTTTTTTTTTTGCTTTCTACCTAACTCTGCAGAATAAATTTGGTAATTTTGACAAGTTGCTGAAATTGCTATTTTTTTTTTTTTTTTTTTTGGAGGGGGGGATGGGAGGATCCAAGTGGTTTAGTGGCGTTGCCTATGCTGCACTTCCTCCTTTGCGCCACGTTGAGCGGTTGTTCTATGAGGTTGTTTTACTTTACGCTGTTGTACTTTCCTTTCTGTTTCCTTTTTCCCTGCCACGTATTTTACCCCTGTCGTCGCTACGCGCTAGGTAACTGCAGAACGGTGTAAATCTTCTCAGTTTTATAAAAACTCTTGCTTGCAAAAAAAAGGGGACAAAAAAAGGTAACAAAAAAGGGACAAAACAGGTGTGACTTTCGATCCTTCCGTTTTGCCGCCCTCATAAAACACCCGCCTTACACCCGTGGAGTGGTGGCACGGGACAAGATATTGTCGCATTGGTTCGGTTTTGCGTCACCTTGTGTTGCCCCGCTTTTAAATTACTTTTTATCATATGGCCCCCCGCGGCGCCAGAACAAAAATGGGGACCGCCCCTCAACTTTCTAATTTAAAGCTTCACTGAAACAGTAGCCAAATTTAACAGCTTTAGGATGGTTGCCCCAAGTGGTGTGTAAATCTGTATTTGTGACAACAGGGGGCAATACACAATGTAAGAGTGTATGATTAAGTGCTTTGTCTGTTATGTTTTCATGTCGGCTTGGGTAAGGAAGGCTCCCTCTTACGAAATTCGAAGGAGCTGTTAATTTGGAACTCAATAAAAAGTACACAACCCTCGAAAGGGAAATATCTCTGTTCCCGCTTAGGTTGGAAACTTGTTCAGCTGTTCTCAAATGGGTAACATAATTGTGTGTGGTAGGACGAGGAGGAAGTTTTTTTCTAGCCTCGTACTTGGTTGCACAAGAAAGGAAAACGTCTTTTGTCCTGCAGCTCAAGATGATGCTGCTATAGCACAGGCGCTTTCCCCAAATGGTATTTTTTTTTTTTTTTGCCAAAGAGAACAACTTTTTCAATCGTTGAAAACAGGTAAGCAGCGGAGTGATGCATCAACAGCGTGAGACAAAAAAAATGGACGCACAAGACAAATGCGAAAGTGAAAATACATAACAAATGATATGAAGCCCCCAGTTTGGTAGACAAGATAAAGGGGAAGATAATTTGGGGAAATTTTCCTATTCACACATTTCCTCACAATAAGAGAGAGAAAAAAAAAAAAAAAAATCGGTAAGGGGGAAAAACATAACGACGTCGCCTTGTCACGACGCTGAATTATGCGAATGTGCGCAAGTATGGACATGTGTGTATACCTCTCCGTTGGGGTCTCACGTGCACGATTGTCCTTTTAGACAGTTTCCCCCTTGACGTAAGCATCCCTATGCTGGGCGCCTCGCGCCCTCAAAAAAAAAAAAAAAAAAAGGAAGAAAAAAAATAAAGCGAAAGAATGAGAGATGGAGAGAGAGAAAAAAAAAAAAAAGGAAACATTTTTACTTCCCCGCAAAGGAAATAAAACAAAGCATGAGTAATTACATATGCACAATGTAGTAAGGTCATTTAAAAAAAAAAATTAAAATTAAAAAATAGGATATCTCTTAAGTCCGCATGTTCGTATTAAACCATTTTGTTCATTTTTTTTGTCCCCCAAAATGCAAAATGCTCTCTCCACTTGAAAAAAAAACCTCTGAGTTCTTCCTGACATGCCATTCTTACGCTGCTACCCTTGTGTGTAGGTGTTAGAGCGGGAATATGTACCCTCCCCTTATTTGTGTCTTTACGAATCAGGGGTTCCCCCATGGGGAAGCAATAACAGTGCGGTTCCTTGCATGAACGTTGGTCCATCTAAGCCTACATAAGTAGTTCTAAGGAGACCTCTTAAACGCATCACAGCATTCCAGTTCAAAAAGACAAACGAAAAAAGCTTTCCATCTAGTTCCATATATGGTATAGAAGCCAACAGGACTGGGGGCGGACACTCGAGGCAGGGAATTTTAGTCCCCACTTGAGTTAAACTTCCTACTCTAACCTTGTGTTTTTTTATTTGTTGTTGACGGGAAGGCGCAAATGTCCCACGGTCCCTCGAGTTTGCTAAAAGTGGGGGAAAATGAAAGTTGTGGCGAAATGGTACATGAGTGGAGTGAAGATTTTTTTTCCAAAATTTCGCGACACCTCGATTGGCACACCCCTTGTCCCGGCACGACTGTGTATTATGTGTGGAAGGGGCGGATAACCTCCTACACATGGGGACGGACTCCCCACGAGTATGGGCCTACCCCTCGCCTCATGTTACTTACGTTTTCAAATTGTGCTTCCTTACGAAAAACGCGGGAACGACAAAAATGAGGAAAATGTGACTGCAGGGAGGAGAAAGGAATGAAATATATTAGACACTTCTCAAGTGCGGGTAGCTCCCCAGTGTAGATGTGAATGTGTGACGATGCGGAGGATGTACATGAACGCATATAACCAGCCACCTCCCACATGCACGCAACATGATAACAAATGTGTGTTGCAAAAATTTTCACAATGTGATAAAATACACTGCATGAGAAACTCACCCGAAGAAGTTTAAGTAAAACAGAATGGTAGAAATGCTTCTTATACAGAGGGATACAATTAAGAACATCAGGGGAAACAAGACGTAGTTGTAGTACTTGATGTTTTTTAACTGAAAATGGGGTAAGCAAAATGGAGGGGGAAAAAAAAAACAGCGGGATAGTCAACTGAAACCAACCCTGAATAGGAGGTACCACAGGGCAGCTCCACAGTGTCGTTTCATTTTAGCACTTAGACGAGTCAACTCCTTACGGCTATGGTTTGCACAATGAAAGGCACGTAGAAAAACAGTCTAAAGTAGGAGGCAGGAAATAAAATATGTATCATTTGTTCTGTGCTAACGTGGGCACATAGCAGAGTGGAAGCGGGAGGGAGGTAATTCATTGGACACCATTTTTTTTCTTTTTTCACCTCATGCTTGTGGGTCATACCACATTTGTGTCATTCACTCTGGTGGTCATTCTCATAACTAAGACACGAGAACGATGGCCACATGGTGTGGTTAAAAAAACTCTTTGCTCTCTTACATGGAGGAAAAAAAGAGGAAGGAAAATATCTACAATGGAAAGTAGAAGAAAGTTTCCATCAGTATAAGCGATGTATATAAAGTGGGCGTCTCTTCTTGCACACTTAACATGCGCCAAAAAAAAAAAAAAAAAAAAAAAAAAAAACTATGAGCGCTCCACGTCTTCACCAATGTTACCTGTTCGATGGATGCCAGGCGGGATCCCAGTATGACGCTTGCGATGACGGCACAGCTTAGGGAAGTCGAATCGAATATGTCTATATTTTCGTTCTTCCTATCGTGGTGATGTGGAAAAAAAAAAAAAAAAAACAGGCACTTAAGAGGTCATTTCGCTAACATCACTCAATTGTAACCACTTAGACACACGCACATCTATGCCAGACAACATGCGTGCATACCAAATAGTACACTCTCTCCTTACTCGTATATAAATCCGTAATTGTGAAACATAAGATGAATGAGCAGCAGCACTTGTGTTTGTAAAGAGGAAGGGAAAAAAAAAAAAAAACATGTCACATGCTTAACGCTTCTGGAAAAGGTAAAAAATTCTTATAATAGAAAAACGAAATAAATATGATGCATTCAAATACAAATGCTCATTTACGTATGGAAACCAGGTACACCGTGTTGTCGCTGTGCGTTTGAGTTAGGCTAATTAACACGGGGGATAGAATCTTCCGCGGAGAAGGAAAAAAGAAAAAAAGAACATATAATGTATGAATTTGTGTGCATGTAAATGTGGGAGGCAAATCAAAAGGTAAATCTATGAATTAGGGGGGAAAAAAAAATGTTACCCATATAATTCCAATAATAATTATGGTGTCTAAAATATTCTTAAAGGAGCCTATAAAGAGGTAAGGGGAAAAATATATGTATATATCCTTATTCGTATTTTTCTTTACATATTTATCTTCAGTTTTTTTTTTTTTTTTTTTCTTCCCTTCATCTTACATTTGATCGATTTATGGACTTGGTAAATTAGCACCTCCTTGAGTATAATGATGGTGATGTTGGCTGCGTATATTAGCCTGTGAGAGGGCGGTGAAGAAAAAATTGGGCGCATTGCTGAGGCGTTGCATTGGCCAATCCGTCCAAGTGACCATCTGTCCATCTGACCATTTGCTCATTTCGAGAAGAAGGCCTACCTGTTTGACGCTATATTTTTGTCAATGCAGTGGTACGCCAACAGGAGAAACAGCACGACGATTATTTGGTGATTCACGCACAGCACGCTGTGGCAGACATGGGAATACTTGTACTTGATCCCGACTGAGGGGGAGAGATGACCAAAGGATGCGAACAGAGCAACGAAGTGGAAACGGAAATGGAACGAAAGAAACAGGGAAGTGTCTAAAACATGTGATGCGAAAAGAACGGTAACATGAGCCCAGTCAATACGTTCTTATTGCACTCCACGATGGAACAGATCGAAGGGACTCTTTTAAAGCGATGCTTTAAGTTTTGCTTACAGTTTGTCAAGAGGGAGCTCATAAAACTGCTGTGCACATAGTTGTCCTCGTACCCCTGATCTTCATATAGTATTTTTCGCCATTTCTTTTTCCGCTTCATGAAAAAAGAGTAATCAAGCATGTGCGTGTGTATATTTTTACTCATGCGTTCATGTGCCTTTACACCCGTTCGGATAAGACAAAAATGTTGGAGTTCTCTTGGCAACTAATTGCCTCCTAATTGTGTAGCGCTCTAGTAGCCTTTCCACCTTTTTTTTTTTCTTTTTTTAATTTGATTCTTTCGAAGAAAAGCGTTATTTACCGTTCCACTTTTAGCAGTCCCATCCATTATGTGACTCATTCATAAAAGATATGAAGGTTTTTTTTTATAAAATATTGCTTGTTCAGGTAAAAAAAGGGTAACAAAAAAAAAGCTGACCTGTCCATGATCTTTTAGGTACACTTTCACGTATCACCATACACACGCACAATACATTTGAACATCCAAACGTTGTGGATTTGTCACATTGGGGTTAAGCAGATGGGGAAATGTGTTCAAATGTGAATGGCATTGTGGGTGAGTGTAAGTTTTTCCATAAAATACAGGTAAAGGAAGTTGCCATGGAGTTTCTTAACTCCAGTTATAAAGGAAAAATAATAATTGGGGGGAAATTATCCAAAAAAAAAAAAGTCCAATGTAGCTATTTTTCCTTTTTTTTTTTTTTTTTTTTTTTTATATATATATATATATTTATTGCCTGTTCATACATAAAATTACTCACTAAAATGATGTTTACACAATCGTGCTTTAATTTTTCCAATGTGCTCACGTGCATTTTCGTCGATTGTGCCGCTTGCGGTGCTCCGTCAGTCTCCACCTTTTTGACCCAGTTCAGAACAGAAAAAACAAAAACAAAACAGTCCAAACATATTTGTCCCGGTTTACATAAAATTGGGGATATGAACCAGGTAATGTTCCGAATCGTGTAACCACCCCAATGGGCATACACGTCATAGGAAACTCTTTCCCTTTTAAATGTACCACGTTATGTACACACCCATATGTGGCTCAAAAAGGAAGGGCAACAGGGCAGTGTAGAAATTGACCATGGTGACATAAAAGGGAACAAATGATAATTTTCCCCCACACAATATATGATCATGTTTGATTGTTCAATTGGGGAGAGTAGGGCAGACAAACATGTGCCACATTTGCTTAAATAATGTATCATTTGTGTTGCCCCTTTCATTGGTTGATCTAAAAATGGGACCTACATAAATAGTTTAATCGTCCCTAAATTGCCCCCAAACGCAGACACAAACTTTTGAGGAGAAAAAAATTGGACCGTGTGAGGGGTTATTACACCCAGTTCCTTTTTTACGAGACTTTTTTTTTTCGTATGTCCCTGAATGTGGGCTTCCTTCAAATGTCTATAATGGATCACAAGCTTGCCCTCCCGTTGGGAATCTCCCCATTCGAGGACACACGAAAAAGAAGGGGCTAATTTGTTTGCCAAAACGTGGGCGGGAGTTAGCCCAGTGGGGATTGACGTAAAGGTGCTCTGTGAGGGGAGGTCAGCGCAACTGCCTTAATTTGTGTGTATATTCTTATATGTTGCATCTCACGCAGAGCACGCATGGAAGCGGATACCGCACTTGCCCTTCTTCACTTCTCCTCCCCCCCTCGCTTTCCATCTCAAAAGGTACACGATCCACCGTATTCTCGCTCTGTTAATGCCCCCGCGCCTTTTTCCCCATGTTACGCACGCCCACTCGTCCATTAATTTTTTTTTTTTTTTATGGAGACAAAAAATTTGCTGCTTCTTCTCCAGTGGTGCTCGATTAATACGCATTAAAAATTTCCAAAAAGGGATAGAAATTGCTCGTGCTTCTTGAACCTTTTTCTAAAAGAAGGCGAAAACAAAAAAAAAAAATCGCACCAATTTTGTGGCAATTGAAGAGGGGCACATCAAAGCAGCCAAGTAGCGACGTAATAAACGCTTCGCACGAAGTGGTACAAGGGCCCACATAAATTGCCAAGGGAAAAAAAAGAAACCATTTTTATTTGTTATGGTTCACCCCGAAAGGCACACACTCACTTAGAAGATTTACCCCTGTCACGGGAACGTAGCAGAGGACAGTGCAAGCAGCCATTTGGCCTTTTAAGCGGAAGGCACACCCCTAAGCGCACATTTGTGTCCATGACCATATGCCCCGCGTGTGTTCCCCACAGTAATGTTCCTGGTGGAAAATATGTGCAGCCGCCACACACTGTGCTTTCAAATAAGTGAGGCGTAAATCTGTTTGTGTTTCGAAGTGGTGCGGAACCAGGCGCGCCCAGATAAAGACATAGATAGGGACACACCTCGGCACACGGGTACAGATAGGTGTACACCCCCTGATACTCACCCCCCTTGTTTAACCACTGAACCGGAGAGACGAATATGATTGTGCGAAAGAGATCCATCAACGGCACACCCGTTCAAAAGGGAATAGTGAACGAGAAGAAACTCCAAAACATCACGATAAAGAATTACGAAATTAATAGCAATGGAGAGAAGAAAAACTTTTTCGATTACTACGGGTGTATATACCCATTCAATATGCCAATAAGTTTATACAAGTACCCGCCCATTTTTGGGTACTGCAGTTTAAGTGACTTCCAAGAAATAGGAGCAAAGAGACTGGCCCTTTTGCAATTCCTGGACACCTGTACAATTAACGGGGAGGACGAAAAGGACACATTTAACTCAAAGGCGAGGATGGACAAGGATACCACACTTACCAGCAACAACAACGATAATAAATTTAAACAAATAAGACAAAAAATATTTGAATATAAATTTGGAATTCAGAAGATGAAAAATTACAGTAAAGAAGAAATGGAAAATATAATCATGACAGATTTATTATCCCACTACATCTTAAGAATAGCTTTTGCAAAAGACAAAGAAAAGCAACAGTGGTTTTTAAAGCAGGAATTAAAATTATTCATGTTTCGATTAAATGAATTAAAAAATATTAACGTACTGAATTCACATAACCTTGGGGAGAGCGAACGAGGATTAATTCATTTGTTAAAGAGAGAAAATTTAAATTATGAATATTTGTCCAAACCAGTTATATCATCCTTTGGAGCCAAAGATGAAGCATGGGAAAAATATACATCCTTCATCCCTAATAGAGATACCATAGAAAAGGTATTTAAAATTCCCTTTTTTCCAGATGCATATTTATTAGTGAAAGAGCACAAGGTGTGTGTTGATAAAGCTATCGCATATGTTCCAGACATATACCTAGACTCTATTTTAGTGACTCAATTTAAAATAACCATTAAGGAGTCCTTTAAACATTTAGATAAAAATGAAAAACTCCTACTTAATATACAAAATGATAGCAGAATATCTACCTTCCTGGTGGCACTGCCCAAAGCATACGTTGCAAGGGATTACAGGCAAAATTATGAACATACACAGGAAACTAGACTAATGCCACAAAATTTGTATAGTGTTTATAAGCAGTCCTTTCCCCCTTGTATGCGTAGAATCTTTGTTAATTTTATTAAAGAAAAACATTTGAAACATTGGGGAAGGCAACAGCTGTGGTTATTTTTAAAAGGGGCTGGTATGACACTGGAGGAAAATATACACACCAATCGATCCATATGGTTACAACCAGACAAATTCGATAAGGAGCATAGATATACTATACGCTATATGTATGGCAAGGAGGGGAAGAAGACAGATTTTAGCCCATATAATTGCTCTAAAATTATAAATAACTTTCCTGTTCCTTCAAGTGGAGACACGCATGGGTGTCCTTTTAAGAACTTTGACGAAGCTCACTTGAGGACCCTGCTCTTTTTCTTTGGGCTCACTGATGATCAGATTAAAAATATCATGCCTTTGAAAAAGAACAACGAATACCAGATGGCTTGCGTGAAGTTTTTCATGGAAATGCACCCCGGCTCGTCTGCCGACGGGGTGGGCAACCACCCCAACTCGTACTACATCGAGAGTAGGAAGTAAGCGCACGGAGGGGAAAAAAAAGGGCCACCCATAAGTTAGTGGTCTCAACTGCGGCGTAGCAACTGCTCTGTCGTGAACCTGCTTGGCCGCTAACTCACACGTTCATTTTCCCCCTGCGCAGGTACTACAAATCGAAGGCAACGAACGGGACAGGCGAAACGGGTGCGTAAAAGTTCGATAGGAAGTGGAACCCCCTCCCGCAGGTGCACATTTCGGTGCGGAAGCAATTTGGAATGGGGCTGCTACTCTCGCGAGGTCCAACGCGCGACGATCGCCTCATGCACTACGGTGGAGCCGTAGCACCGTGCCGTGCACCCTACGGGGTCGGCGCATGTGTGGAAAAAAAAAAAAAAAAGAGGCAAACGTGGGATGTGTAAAAACATCCTATACATGCTGAAAAGAGGACATCATGGAGCACGTGCAATCCCACTAAAGTGCACCCCATGGTGGTACAAAGCTCGCCGCCTTTCCCCTATGTCGTCCCTTTTTTGTGTGCGCGCTTATGGCCCCCTGGCGATGCAACCCAAATAACGTCCCTCCGGTTGGCAATTCAAATTAGACACTCACTGGGGCAATCTAAATAACGCCCCGTCAGTGGCAAGTCAAATTAGGCACTCACTTCGGGGTTGTCCTCAACGAGTTGGTTAATTTGATTTAATAACTGACGAAGCATCTGCACTTGTGAAAATTTCGACTGATCAGATTTTCCATTTTGCTGTACATTCTCCTCTTCCCCATTTTTGTCATTTTGGTCAAAGTTGGTCGAATGAGCCAATTGAGTATTCTCACCACAGGAGTCTGAAACGTGCTCACAATTTTGTAGAATTTTTTGGATGATAAATTTGCAGAGTACAAATATTTCTTTGGAGGATGAACTGTGGACATCCAAATCACAGCAACCAACCCCATGTTGACAAGCATCAATGAGCTTTTGATTAAAGGTTATCCTACCAGCATAGTCTACATTCATTTCCTTGCACATCTTATCGACCGTGTAATTAGAAACAAAAACGGACTGATACATATTTTCTATTATGCCCAAAATGGGTATGTTTGTTTTTTTGCAAAATTCGATTTCTTTTTTAACATCACAAATGGATAATATATGTGGAGTAGTAACAATTATGCATCCACTTAAATTATTTTTTAAATATGAACAGATGGTAAGATGTTCATCGCTAGTTCCTGGGGGCGTATCTATAATTAAAAAGTCTAAACTTTTCCAGTACACATCACATAAGAATTGTTTAATTAACCCATTTTTTTTGGGACCCCTCCAAATAACTGGGTCATCAAAATTTGGAAGTAAATATCCCACAGACATTATGGACAAATTATTTTTATAAATGGGAACCCATCCGTTCATGCTATAGTTGACATCACAGCTGACTGTTTTCGTTAGGACTGGGATGGACGGTCCACATATGTCAATGTCGAGAAGACCTACGTCATAGTTTAGGTAACATAATGAAAAGGCTAACTGTGTTGCTACTGTTGATTTTCCGACTCCTCCTTTTCCAGATAATACCAAAATTTTATATTTTACATTTTTTAAATTTTCTTCAACTTGATTAAAAATTTGATTTTTTTCCTTCTCCTTTTCTTTTTTCAATTCTGGATCGTTGCAAATTTTTCTGTTGGGACATCCTTCGCAAATTTTCGACTTTCCTGCTTGTTCGTTTTCCATACCCGGGCATCCGTCAGGTATGTCTTGCCCGTCCCCACGTCCACCACTCTGTGCATTGCTACTGTGGTGGTGTCGGCCATTTTGAGAATGACGCCCACACTTTCTCATTTTCCATTTCGCTATGGCTCTCTCAACCGTACAAACCAAACATTTTCGCACTTGCCTCCTGTTGACGAATAGGTAGCTTATCGTTAATCCTGCCAATGACCCAATCAGCAAGGGGATGGCGTTTCTCCTCGTGTACGCATACATGTAGGGCCACCTAATTGCTCTTCCTCAATATATATATTTTTTTCTCGATCTCTTGGCTAGTTAAGAAGCAGTGATATACACATGTAAGGGATAAATTGTGCGACTCACCATTTGTAGAGCCTCACTCTGCGGCTTGCATAGATGAATGGGTAACACGTTGATAAACGCTTAAACATATGAGTGAAAGCTACACCCCGCTGGAAAAAAAAAAAAACACTTTTCAATTTTGTTGCTGATATGGGGAGGGGAAATACAACTGTAGGGGCAGCGGCCATATCGTTTTTTTTTTTTTTTTTTTTTTTTTTTTTGCCAAAAATTGTCAATTTGTGTGCCAAATCCCGGAGAGTGTAGGTGTCGATTTGGTAACAGGATGATCCGGCAGTGCCTCCTTGGGGGCGCTTAAAAAAAAAAAAAAAATGACAAAGGAGCACATATGTAGGGGATGCCAACCCGTCACAACCATTTTGTGCAATATATGACGCATCCATGGACAGTTGGGAGTTTTCTCCCCAATAGGGGGAAAGAGGTGCCCCGTTGGTGCCTCTGTCATTTGTGCTGTGGCGACTGGTTAAGTAGAAGCAGCAGCTCCAGGAAAATAAACACCCCAGATGGATATCCTTCCCCCCGTTAAGCAGATTTCTCATAGCCCATTTATGTGTTAAAGAGTGGTAAGTGGTTTTTCCTTAAAAGGTTAGAGAGGGGGCAAGGGGCAAGCACAAGTGCGAGCTGCAGGGCGCGAAGTGGATGCAAAAGTGTATACAGCAAAAATGAGAATGAAAATAAATAGATGTGTAGCTAGCTGGTGAATTATCGGACAACCTTGAGGTGCCCCACCCCCGCCAACTGTCCCACACTCAACGGAAACAAAACTGTGCAGCCAGGACGCGCAGAGTTAGGGAAGACACAATTGGACCAGGCAGACGTAGCGCTACTTCGACATGGCCGTCTTCTCTCTGCGCGATAGAACCATGTAGAGGTGACTGCTGGACAAGAGCCCCCATATTCATGGTGGTCA